CTGCGCGCGCCTTGGTCCATGCGCGCGCCTTGGTCCACGCGCGCGCCTTGGTCCACGCGCGCGCCTTGGTCCACGCGCGCGCCTTGGTCCACGCGCGCGCCTTGGTCCACGCGCGCGCCCTGGTCCACGCGCGCGCCCTGGTCCACGCGCGCGCCCTGGTCCACGCGCGCGCCCTGGTCCACGCGCGCGCCCTGGTCCACGCGCGCGCCCTGGTCCATGCGCGCGCCCTGGTCCACGCGCGCGCCCTGGTCCACGCGCGCGCCCTGGTCCACGCGCGCGCCCTGGTCCACGCGCGCGCCCTGGTCCACGCGCGCGCCTTGGTCCACGCGCTCGCCTTGGTCCACGCGCGCGCCTTGGTCCACGCGCGCGCATTGGTCCACGCGCGCGCCTTGGTCCACGCGCGCGCCCTGGTCCACGCGCGCGCCCTGGTCCACGCGCGCGCCCTGGTCCACGCGCGCGCCCTGGTCCACGCGCGCGCCTTGGTCCACTCGCGCGCCTTGGTCCACGCGCGCGCCTTGGTCCACGCGCGCGCCTTGGTCCACGCGCGCGCCTTGGTCCACGCGCGCGCCTTGGTCCACGCGCGCGCCTTGGTCCACGCGCGCGCCTTGGTCCACGCGCGCGCCTTGGTCCACGCGCGCGCCCTGGTCCACGCGCGCGCCCTGGTCCACGCGCGCGCCTTGGTCCACGCGCGCGCCTTGGTCCACGCGCGCGCCTTGGTCCACGCGCGCGCCTTGGTCCACGCGCGCGCCTTGGTCCACGCGCGCGCCTTGGTCCACGCGCGCGCCTTGGTCCACGCGCGCGCCCTGGTCCACGTGCGCGCCCTGGTCCACGCGCGCGCCCTGGTCCACGCGCGCGCCCTGGTCCACGCGCGCGCCCTGGTCCACGCGCGCGCCTTGGTCCACGCGCGCGCCTTGGTCCACGCGCGCGCCTTGGTCCACGCGCGCGCCTTGGTCCACGCGCGCGCCTTGGTCCACGCGCGCGCCTTGGTCCACGCGCGCGCCCTGGTCCACGCGCGCGCCCTGGTCCACGCGCGCGCCTTGGTCCACGCGCGCGCCTTGGTCCACGCGCGCGCCTTGGTCCACGCGCGCGCCTTGGTCCACGCGCGCGCCTTGGTCCACGCGCGCGCCTTGGTCCACGCGCGCGCCTTGGTCCACGCGCGCGCCCTGGTCCACGCGCGCGCCCTGGTCCACGCGCGCGCCCTGGTCCACGCGCGCGCCCTGGTCCACGCGCGCGCCCTGGTCCACGCGCGCGCCCTGGTCCACGCGCGCGCCCTGGTCCACGCGCGCGCCCTGGTCCACGCGCGCGCCCTGGTCCACGCGCGCGCCCTGGTCCATGCGCGCGCCCTGGTCCACGCGCGCGCCTTGGTCCACGCGCGCGCCTTGGTCCACGCGCGCGCCTTGGTCCACGCGCGCGCCGTGGTCCACCCGCGCGCCGTGGTCCACGCGCGCGCCCTGGTCCACGCGCGCGCCCTGGTCCACGCGCGCGCCCTGGTCCACGCGCGCGCCCTGGTCCACGCGCGCGCCTTGGTCCACTCGCGCGCCTTGGTCCACGCGCGCGCCTTGGTCCACGCGCGCGCCTTGGTCCACGCGCGCGCCTTGGTCCACGCGCGCGCCCTGGTCCACGCGCGCGCCCTGGTCCACGCGCGCGCCCTGGTCCACTCGCGCGCCTTGGTCCACGCGCGCGCCTTGGTCCACGCGCGCGCCTTGGTCCACGCGCGCGCCTTGGTCCACGCGCGCGCCTTTGTCCACGCGCGCGCCTTGGTCCACGCGCGCGCCTTGGTCCACGCGCGCGCCTTGGTCCACGCGCGCGCCTTGGTCCACGCGCGCGCCCTGGTCCACGCGCGCGCCCTGGTCCACGCGCGCGCCTTGGTCCACGCGCGCGCCTTGGTCCACGCGCGCGCCTTGGTCCACGCGCGCGCCTTGGTCCACGCGCGCGCCTTGGTCCACGCGCGCGCCTTGGTCCACGCGCGCGCCTTGGTCCACGCGCGCGCCCTGGTCCACGCGCGCTCCCTGGTCCACGCGCGCGCCCTGGTCCACGCGCGCGCCCTGGTCCACGCGCGCGCCCTGGTCCACGCGCGCGCCTTGGTCCACGCGCGCGCCTTGGTCCACGCGCGCGCCTTGGTCCACGCGCGCGCCTTGGTCCACGCGCGCGCCTTGGTCCACGCGCGCGCCTTGGTCCACGCGCGCGCCTTGGTCCACGCGCGCGCCTTGGTCCACGCGCGCGCCTTGGTCCACGCGCGCGCCCTGGTCCACGCGCGCGCCCTGGTCCACGCGCGCGCCCTGGTCCACGCGCGCGCCCTGGTCCACGCGCGCGCCCTGGTCCACGCGCGCGCCCTGGTCCACGCGCGCGCCCTGGTCCACGCGCGCGCCCTGGTCCACGCGCGCGCCCTGGTCCACGCGCGCGCCCTGGTCCACGCGCTCGCCTTGGTCCACGCGCGCGCCTTGGTCCACGCGCGCGCCTTGGTCCACGCGCGCGCCTTGGTCCACGCGCGCGCCCTGGTCCACGCGCGCGCCCTGGTCCACGCGCGCGCCCTGGTCCACGCGCGCGCCCTTGGTCCACGCGCGCGCCTTGGTCCACGCGCGCGCCTTGGTCCACGCGCGCGCCTTGGTCCACGCGCGCGCCTTGGTCCACGCGCGCGCCTTGGTCCACGCGCGCGCCTTGGTCCACGCGCGCGCCTTGGTCCACGCGCGCGCCTTGGTCCACGCGCGCGCCTTGGTCCACGCGCGCGCCCTGGTCCACGCGCGCGCCCTGGTCCACGCGCGCGCCTTGGTCCACGCGCGCGCCTTGGTCCACGCGCGCGCCTTGGTCCACGCGCGCGCCTTGGTCCACGCGCGCGCCTTGGTCCACGCGCGCGCCTTGGTCCACGCGCGCGCCCTGGTCCACGCGCGCGCCCTGGTCCACGCGCGCGCCCTGGTCCACGCGCGCGCCCTGGTCCACGCGCGCGCCCTGGTCCACGCGCGCGCCCTGGTCCACGCGCGCGCCCTTGGTCCACGCGCGCGCCTTGGTCCACGCGCGCGCCTTGGTCCACGCGCGCGCCTTGGTCCACGCGCGCGCCTTGGTCCACGCGCGCGCCTTGGTCCACGCGCGCGCCCTGGTCCACGCGCGCGCCCTGGTCCACGCGCGCGCCCTGGTCCACGCGCGCGCCCTGGTCCACGCGCGCGCCTTGGTCCACGCGCGCGCCTTGGTCCACGCGCGCGCCTTGGTCCACGCGCGCGCCTTGGTCCACGCGCGCGCCTTGGTCCACGCGCGCGCCTTGGTCCACGCGCGCGCCCTGGTCCACGCGCGCGCCCTGGTCCACGCGCGCGCCCTGGTCCACGCGCGCGCCCTGGTCCACGCGCGCGCCCTGGTCCACGCGCGCGCCCTGGTCCACGCGCGCGCCCTGGTCCACGCGCGCGCCCTGGTCCACGCGCGCGCCCTGGTCCACGCGCGCGCCCTGGTCCACGCGCGCGCCCTGGTCCACGCGCGCGCCTTGGTCCACGCGCGCGCCTTGGTCCACGCGCGCGCCTTGGTCCACGCGCGCGCCTTGGTCCACGCGCGCGCCTTGGTCCACGCGCGCGCCTTGGTCCACGCGCGCGCCTTGGTCCACGCGCGCGCCCTGGTCCACGCGCGCGCCCTGGTCCACGCGCGCGCCTTGGTCCACGCGCGCGCCTTGGTCCACGCGCGCGCCTTGGTCCACGCGCGGGCCTTGGTCCACGCGCGCGCCTTGGTCCACGCGCGCGCCTTGGTCCACGCGCGCGCCTTGGTCCACGCGCGCGCCCTGGTCCACGCGCGCGCCCTGGTCCACGCGCGCGCCCTGGTCCACGCGCGCGCCCTGGTCCACGCGCGCGCCCTGGTCCACGCGCGCGCCTTGGTCCACGCGCGCGCCTTGGTCCACGCGCGCGCCTTGGTCCACGCGCGCGCCTTGGTCCACGCGCGCGCCTTGGTCCACGCGCGCGCCTTGGTCCACGCGCGCGCCCTGGTCCACGCGCGCGCCCTGGTCCACGTGCGCGCCTTGGTCCACGCGCGCGCCTTGGTCCACGCGCGCGCCTTGGTCCACGCGCGCGCCTTGGTCCACGCGCGCGCCTTGGTCCACGCGCGCGCCTTGGTCCACGCGCGCGCCTTGGTCCACGCGCGCGCCCTGGTCCACGCGCGCGCCCTGGTCCACGCGCGCGCCCTGGTCCACGCGCGCGCCCTGGTCCACGCGCGCGCCCTGGTCCACGCGCGCGCCCTGGTCCACGCGCGCGCCCTGGTCCACGCGCGCGCCCTGGTCCACGCGCGCGCCCTGGTCCACGCGCGCGCCCTGGTCCACGCGCGCGCCCTGGTCCACGCGCGCGCCTTGGTCCACGCGCGCGCCTTGGTCCACGCGCGCGCCTTGGTCCACGCGCGCGCCGTGGTCCACCCGCGCGCCGTGGTCCACGCGCGCGCCCTGGTCCACGCGCGCGCCCTGGTCCACGCGCGCGCCCTGGTCCACGCGCGCGCCCTGGTCCACGCGCGCGCCCTGGTCCACGCGCGCGCCCTGGTCCACGCGCGCGCCCTGGTCCACGCGCGCGCCCTGGTCCACGCGCGCGCCCTGGTCCACGCGCGCGCCCTGGTCCACGCGCGCGCCCTGGTCCACGCGCGCGCCCTGGTCCACGCGCGCGTTCTGGTCCACGCGCGCGCCCTGGTCCACGCGCGCGCCCTGGTCCACGCGCGCGCCCTGGTCCACGCGCGCGCCCTGGTCCACGCGCGCGCCCTGGTCCACGCGCGCGCCTTGGTCCACGCGCGCGCCTTGGTCCACGCGCGCGCCTTGGTCCACGCGCGCGCCTTGGTCCACGCGCGCGCCTTGGTCCACGCGCGCGCCTTGGTCCACGCGCGCGCCGCGCGACCAAGTTTGAGGTGACTCGTATGTTTGAGGTGGCCACAGGATTCCATTCCCACCTCCCCTCTGCTGCCCATGCCCGCACCAACATCTCTTCTCCACGCCCTCCCTCTGCTCATATGCTCCTATGCTTCTATGCTCGCATGCACCCACCCATGTGCAGGCGGAGCAAGCATGGCATGCATCGCAGAAGCAGGGCGTGGTGCTGTTCGCGCTGCCGGGGGAGCGCTACATCTGTGCACTCAAGGACGACTTCTGCATCACCTTTCACGACTCCTATGGAGACTTCTCATGGTCCGCCCACTGCTTCTGCACTGCTTGCACCCTCCACTCCACTCCCTCTGCATGCCTCTGCAGTGCTTTCACTCTCTGCTCTGTTTGAGCTGCCTTCGTGCATTTAAAATTTTGAAACGCTTCTAAAATCGTTCCTGGCTTTTGTCTGTGCTCGCTTCATTAAACCCCACTCCTCTCTCTCTCGCCCACTCCCTCATTCACTCTTTCTTCCTCCCTCTCTCCCTTTTTCCTCCCATCCGCCCTCTATCCTTCCGTCTTCCCCCGAACTTCAACCCCGTTGGTCATGTCCCATCATCTCCCATCACCTCTCGTCACCTCTCATCACCGCACGCCACCGCGCACCACAGCTGGCTGCACACCAGCTTCACACAGGCGCACCATATGCTCAAGACCACTGACCTTGACGGATTCGACAAGGTCCGTTGCCCTCTGTCGCTCCTCTCCAACCCCCCTTCCCAACCCCTTCCCCCTCTCTCCCCCCCCTTCCCCCTTTTCCCACCTTACCCACTTCTCCCTCCTAGTTACCTTCTCCTGCAGTCGTTTTTAGCTGTTCCTAATACCTCCCGGTTCTTGCGTTTGGACACCTTCCCTCTCGCCCCCACTTGGCATTTCCGCTCTTCGCTTCTCTCCCCACTCCCTCACCATGCCCCCTTTCACGCTCCCTCTCCCAACTCGCAGTCTGTCCCCCCATGCCCTCTCACCTTACTGCTTTCCACTTCAACCTCTCCCCACCGCACTCCATCCCCCCACTCTCCCCCCACCCTTGCCCCTGCGCGGTTCCTTGCCCTGCCCCCCTGTGCCCCATGTGTTGGTGGTGCATCAGAGGCGCCTGAAATCACCGGGTTTTGTGGTGGAGCTGTTGCTGATGGCAGAGGCGGACGTGCCCCCGCCCCGCGCACACAGCACTGCAGGCACACCGCAGAGCGCAGCTCAGAGCGCACAGCTGACTGCACAGCCGAGTGCACAGCAGCAGGCAGAGCAACATTCAGCAGGCGCAGAGCAGAGCGGAGAGCAACGACAAGGGGAATGGGGAAGAGAGAGCCGGAGCACAGATGGAGGTGCGAGTCTGGACCATGGGAGCAAGGTTGCTTCAGGGGAAGGTACTTTGGGGGACGGTGGTCCGAGGGGGTTGAGTGAGGGAGGTGCGACGGAGGAAGGAGAGGGTGACGGTGGTTGTAGCAGAAGGGCGGATGGGCGGATAGCAGGGGATAACAGTGCGGGGAGTGGTGAGTTGGGTGAGCTGGAAGAGAAGCAGGGAGGAGGGAAGGGAGGGAAGGCGGCAGGGGAAGGGGAAATGGAGGGAGGCAGGGAGCATGGTGGGTCGGTTGGTGATGGGTCGAGGAGTGTGGACGGTAGTTGTGCTGCTGCTGCTGCCGATGCTGCTGGTGCTACTGCAATGGTCGTTGATGCTGCTGCTGGCAGTCGCTGCAGCAAAGAGGGAGGCGCAACAGCAGCTAGTGGAAACACCGCAGACATGGTTGGAGAGAGAGAGGCAGGTGGAGGAGGTAGCAGAGAAGCTTCGCGGGGAGATGGAACGGAGGTAAAGTGCAGGGATGCGCCAGGTGCGTCTGAGCACAGCAATGCGGCAGCTGGTGCTGACATGGGATCCACTGGTCCGATGGGTGCTCACCCAGGGGTAGGAACAACTGGAAGGGCAGCCGCTGGAACAGGCTCGGGTTCAGGAACGGTAGCAGGAACGGGAACAGGTACGGGAACAGGTACGGGGACAGAAACACGAACAGGAACAGGAACGGGAAAGGGAGTGGGGACGGGTGTGAGTGCAGGTGGTGGCGGTGCAGGGAGCGGGGCAGAGGAGGCGGCGGAGGTGATGGCGGTGGTAGCAGTGGAGGCACTGGGCATGCTGGCCAGTGCTGTGAGCTGGTCCGTGAAGGAGGTCACCGGCGCACTCTCTGAGGCTAGTAGAAAGGCAGACGCTCGCCACGCTGCTGCTGCCACCGCCGCCGCTGCTGCCGCTGCTGCTGCTGGTACTGGTACTGGTGATAGTAGTGGTGGTGTAAGTGGTGGAGAGGCGAGAGGACGAGTGATAGTAGCAGGGGTAGGCGAGGCAAGGGCCGGTGGAGGAGGAGTTCATACGAGCAGCGCAGGACAGGGGGGCGTGGGCACAGAGCAGAGCAGCAGCAGCAGCAGGATTGCTGATGAGCCTTTGTCAATCAGCATGAAACTTGACTTCATGAATGACGATGATGATGGCGATGCTGGTGATGGGGAGCAGGAGGAGGAGGGCGAGGAGGGTGGGAGCCAGGGAAGCAGCAAGAGGCGGCAAGTACCAGCGTTCTCAGCAGCATCACCTGGCAGCATTGCTCCCAGGAGCTCCTTCAAAGATGCATTCAGTAAGCCACCGCACCTCTATTCCGCAATCCGCCTTCCCTTTTTTCCATTGCCGCTACCCCTTTTCCTTCATTTCCGTACTAGCTTTAACACAAGCTGCCTCTCTCCCTTCCCTTCCTCGCCCTTCCCTTCTTCGCCCTTTCCTTCCCTCACTGACAGGCTATTTAGAGGAGCAGTCCTCGTCATCACCGTCAGCAGCAAAGCCCCCTCTGGCACCATCATCAACAGACCCATCCAACCCCACGCCCACCCCTGCAAAAGCCTCCCTAGCCACATCCTCCTCCCCATCCCCGCTATCAGCCTCCTCTGTACCATCACCAGCAGCAACACCTGACACCAAGGGGCCGGCAGCAGCAGCAGCAGCAGCAGCAGCAGCAGCAGCAGCAGCAGCAGCAGCGGGAGCGGGAGCAGGAGCGATGCGTGTGGTGGGGAATGACTCGATCGATGCGCTGCCCACGTTTGAAGCCTCTCCGGTGACGGAGCTGCCCAAGAGCGAGGAGTTCCTCTTTGGCCCTTCCTCTGACTTTGCTCTTGCTGCTGCCAGTGCTGCCGATGCCTCGCTCTTCACGTTTGGGGACGATGAGGAGGAATAGCCGTGTATGTGGTTGCTCTAGAGCATGTGTGTGTCATGTCAATGTCACTGGTGTTTGTTGATTGCTTAGGAAGTCTGTGGCCCTTCTGTTTGGTTCAAGGAAACCCAGTCCTGCATTTTCCATGGCACTCTTCCTTGATACCACGTTCATCCAATTCGTAAATGTGTACGAATGCTTCATTGGACGTCAAAACCTCGCGCATGTGTTGCCCAATCATTCCTTCGCAGGACATTTGCAATCTCGCACCTCTTGGTGGTAGTTCCTCTGTTGTTTTGTACCTGATGACTGGTTTGACTCTCTCTAGGCTGACAAACACACGGGAATAAAGAAGATACAATTTCAATATTGAAGATTCTCACACAACACAATCCCCACGAGGCATCTAACAATACAGGCCAGTACCTTAGTGGACCTACCACAGAAGTATTTCAACCTGACATGACTCACTCACACATCACTTTCCCGTATATTCTGGTGACCAACCTATCCTTTGTCAAATGTAATTCTATGCTTGTAGGCTACAGTGAGTAGCACAATAGGGAGTACAGTTGTTAGGGTTGCATATTTGTACTTCCACACTTGCTAGTCTCATCATTCCGTTGCATCCTGATTCTGACATGGTATCATGAGTAGGTAGTTTCCTCGCCAAGCCTAGCCTCGATAGAGCCCTAGCGCCCTCCGCGCCCTAGCGCCCTCCGCGCCCTAGCGCCCTCCGCGCCCTAGCGCCCTCCGCGCCCTAGCGCCCTTCGTACCGTCCGTGCCCTCCGCGCCCTAAGCGCCTCCTCACCCTCCGCGCGTAGCCCGCGCCCTCCCCTCGGCCAGCCCGTGGCTCGCACCCTAGGCCAGCCCGTCGCGTGCCCCTAGGCCAGCCCGTCGCGCGCCCCTAGACCAGCCCGTCACGCGCCCCTAGGCCAGCCCGTCGCGCGCCCCTAGGCCAGCCCGTCGCGCGCCCCTAGGCCAGCCCGTCGCGCGCCCCTAGGCCAGCCCATCGCACGCGCCATAGGCCAGCCCGTCGCGCGCCCCAGGCCAGCCCGTCGCGCGCCCCTACGCCAGCCCGCCGCGCGCACCCTAGGCCAGCCCGTCGCACGCGACCTAGGCCAGCCCGTCGCGCGCCCCAGGCCAGCCAGTCGCGCGCGCTCTAGGCCAGCCCGCCACGCGACCCCTCCCTCCGTGCCTCCGCGCCCCCCCCTGCGCCATCCGCGCCCTCCGCGCCAGATCCGCCCGTGCACGCGCCCTCCCCTTAGCCCGCGCCTTCTCCACGACCTCCTAGCCTCCACGCCACCGTTCCGTGCCCGCCCTAGCCCGCGCAACCCGCTCTAACCCTAATTCTAGCCCACGTTTTCCCGCGTGTCTTCTTCCCCACGCTACCCGAGTGTGCCCTTCTCTGCCCGACTGTTGGATTCCCCCCCCTAAACCTGTCCCCCGGTCCCGCACCATTCCTACTGCTCTTGGCTCCCGGCTCAGCGGCTGATAGCCGCTCTTTCCTCCGGTAGCGCCACTTAGGATCGGTTAGAGCCCCGCCCCTAGCCTAGTTTCTCGCCACACGTCTCTCGTCGTTTTCCAGCTGGCGCATCTAGCCCTCAGTAGCCTCGCCCTCCGTAGTCTACCTCCTCGTTCTTAGCTCCGCCTCCGCCGTGCTCCAGCTGCCTCTAGCATTGCCTCCGTTATGGAGTCCCGTCGCCTTCGTTTCGATGCGGAGGGACGCCCGATAGAGTTCGGTACCTGGCAGCGCCAGACCACGCGCTTCCTCACCAGCCAGCGTCAGGACGGCGCCACTCTGTGGGCCCACGCGTCTGGTGCCCTCAAGGCCCCCCCGTCCCCCGCCGCCCTGCCGACCGCCTCGGAGCCGACTCCTACGGCCCAGGCGGAGTACGACCGTCGAGTCCTGGCCAGGGACGTGTGGCTCTCTCGTGACGCTGCCGCCGCTCTCACACTGACGGAGCTTCTCCCTCCGACTGAGGCCGCCCACTTTGACCAGGTGGAGACAGCACAGGGGGTTTGGGATGCTATTGTTGCTCGCTACTCCACCCCCTCCTCTGCCTCCCTCAGTCGCCTCCTCATGCCGTTCGTGTTTCCCGACCTAGGCTCGTTTGCGACTGTTTCCAACCTAGTGACTCACCTCCGCTCGCTTGACGCCGGTTTCCGCGCTGCCTGTACTGACGCACAGCTTCTAGTTGCTCCCCCCCCCATGTGGCTCACTGTTCACTGGTTAGTCACCCGCCTCCCTGACCGCCTTGCCACTGCCCGCGACGCGCTTCTTTAGAAGCACCCCACTGAGCTCACTATCGACCTCCTAGCGACTGCTCTAGGGACCATCGAGAGCAGTCTCCTCACCGTTGCCTCCGCCACTGATGCGGTGGCCCCCCGTCTCTTTGCGGGGTGTGCCGCCCCTCAGCTTCCCACTTTCACCGCTACCCGCGCTTCTGCTGCTGTGTCGGTCGCTGAGGACACCGCTGCCGTTTCTGCCGCAGACTGGCAGAAACGGGGCAAGAGTGGCAAGAAGGGGGGGAAGGGGGGAGGTGGGGGCGGTGGAGGCGGCGGTGGAGGTGGCGGTGGCGGTGGGAGCGGCGGTGGTGGCGGAGGCGGCGGCGGCGGCGGCGGTGGTGCACCAGGGGGAGGGGGCCTTGGAGGAGGTGCTGGACAGACAGGCCCACCCACAGGTGGTGGCCCGACCGGTGGGGGTGTTCCCCCCCAGCAGCAGCAGCCACAGCAGGGACAGCAGCAGGAGCGGGTACAGCAGCACCAGCAGGCGCCGCAGCAGTTCCAGCAGTGGGAGCCCCCGCTGCAGTGGGGTCCGCAGCAGCACTGGGGTCCCCCGCCGCAGTGGGGTCCGGGAGGCCCTGGGAGCACCAGCCGCAGCAGCAGTACTTCCAGCTGGGCCCCTCGCCCCCCTCGCCGTGACGCTGGCCCGTGCACCCACTGGTGCGTCACCGGGCCGGGTAGCCCCTGTCTCTGTGGTCGCGACGACCACTCTGCCGCGCGGTGCTTCCGCCGCCTCGACGACCTCTACCGGGCTCGTTGGGGCCCTCTGGCGGTCACGCCTCGCTGGTCTCGTCTGTTAGCCCGTAAGATTGATGTCTTTGATTTGTCCATGGACGATGCGCGTCAGCATGCTTTGTATGTTGATGCTGACTTTAGTGCCGATGGATCTGTGTGCTCGCGTGTTCGTAGGTTAGCCTACTTGCCTCCTGCTAGTGTAGCCTTGTGCCTGTCTAGCTTAGGTGCTTGTGTTGCTGCTCTAGGTGCTTGTGTAGCGACTGGGTCAGGTGACCCGCCGGCTGAGGCCTCTCTGTCGTTCACGCTGGACTCGGGCGCGTCTCAGTGCTTCTTCCGCGACCACACGACCCTTACACCACTCCTCACACCTGTGTCGGTGGCTCTGGCTGATCCTACCTCTGGACCAGCCGTTGCGCGTAGCTCCACCACCCTCCCGTGCCCTGTGGTCCCCTCTGGTGTCCTGCGCGGCCTCCACATCCCCTCGTTCACTCGGAACCTGGTGGGTGTTGGATACCTCCAGGACAGGGGGATCACGGTTACCTTCGTGGGGGGTGGGCGGACTGCAGTCTGTACAGACGCTACCACAGGTGCTGTTCTGGCCACGTTCACCAGGGAGCCCCGCTCCGGTCTCTACGTTCTTCACACCGAGCGCTCCCCGGTCGCGTCCTCCCCTCAGGTCGTTGCGTCCCCTCCGGCACAGGTCCCCAGTCCAGTTGCTGTGTCTAGCCAGGTAGTAGTGTCCGGTCCGGTCGCTGTGCCCAGTCCAGTCGCTGCGTCTTGCTCCTGTCGCTCTCTCACCCACCGCACCGTCCTGTGGCACCACCGCCTTGGCCACCCGTCGCTCCCTCGCCTACGTGGCATGCTCAGTCAGGGACTTGTCTCAGGTCTCCCACGCACCTTCCCGTCGCTCCCTCTCTCGCTTGCCCCTCCTTGCACTCCGTGCGTCGCCGGTCGCTTACGCGCCACTCCCCACTCCTCCTCCCTTCGTCCGGCCACCGCTCCCTTCGAGACTCTCCACTTGGACGTCTGGGGCCCTGCCCCGACGCAGGGGTCTGGGAGGGAGCGTTACTTTCTGGTGGTCGTTGACGACTTCTCCAGGTACACCACAGTGTTCCCTCTTGCGAAGAAGTCCGAGGTGACTGCTACGCTGATCAGGTGGCTTCTAGCCACTGAGGGCACTCGTGGTCGTCGAGTCAGTTGTCTCCAATCCGACCGTGGGGGCGAGTTTCGCTCCGGCATTCTCGGCGGATTCTGCGGCGAACAGGGCATCACCCAGTCCTGGACGCTGTCAGAGTCCCCACAGCAGAATGGGGTTGCTGAGCGCCGCATAGGCTTGGTCATGGACATCGCCCGCACGTCCATGATCCATGCCCGTGCGCCCCATTTTCTGTGGCCCCACGCGGTTCGCTACGCCGCACACCAGCTGAACCTCCAGCCGCGTGTTTCGCGGCCCGAGGTTTCACCGACCTGTCTTTGGACTGGTTCCCCTGGTGTCGGGTCGGCCTTTCGAGTCTGGGGCTGCCTTGCACTTGTTCGCGACACCTCCGCAGACAAGCTCTCGGCACGCGCCGTCCCCTGTGTCTTCCTTGGTTTCCCAGTGGACTCTGCCGACTGGTCCTTTTACCACCCTCCCCTCCACCACTTCCTAGACTCCCGTGACGTCCGGTTTGACGAGTCCGTGTCCTACTACACCCGGTACCCCTGTCGAGGTCTCCCGGTACCCCCTCCCCCTCTTTTCCTCGCACCCTCTCCTCCTCCTGCTCCCGCTCCTCCGGTACCCCCGCCCCCCCCTGGTCCTGCCCCGTCTGGTGTGTCCCACGTTACCCCTCTACCCTCGGTCGCGCGTCAGGTAGCGTCTCCCTCTCACAGTCCCCTCAGCAGCCTTCGGCACTTCCGCGATAGGTTACTGTGGACTCGGTTGGTGTTGGAGCTGGAGGTGCAGCCACTGGCGGTGCTAGGTCTAGGGGTACTCGGTCGCGGGGTGCTGGAGCTGGAGGTGCTGG